GAGGAGGAGGAGTTGGAGGAGGGATGTGGTTTGGGAAAAGATGGGAGGTGGAGGAAGAGGGGAAAGCAGGCCTGATGGTGGAGGGGGGGAAGGATCTGGTGGGACACAGGCAGGCCTCTGATGGTAGAGGAAGCAGGTGTGGCCACTCACAGGCCACGCGGCTACGCTTTCTAATCAGGCCCAGGTGCTGTGAGGCCAGCAGCCGCCCGGGGGAGGTTAAGGGGAGGCCACTGGGGAGGCCGGGGGAGGCAGGAGACCTCCTCTGGAGGTGACCAGGGTGGAAGGGGAAGCCTGATGTCCTGCCCACGTCACTCCAGAGTCACCTGGTCACAAAGCTTGTGGATCAGAAGGTCCACTTCCCCCCACCCCCTGGCCACACCCTGGCGTTTTCCTTTGCGCCCTGTCGGACTCCAGCCGTGGCGCCCCGCACGCCAGCCATGCTGGCCCAGCAGCCTGTTCCCGGAGCCACAGGTTCACGCCCCTGCAGGGGACCCCGGTCCCTGGGAGGGGTGGACTTCCTCCTGCACAGGGACCCGAGACACCCACCTGTGTACTCAGGAAAGCAGATGGTCAAAGGGGACTTCTTGATCTTCTCGCCAAAGAGATCTTTCTTGTTGAGGAAGAGGATGATGGAGGTATCGATGAAGAACTTGTTGTTACAGATGGAGTCGAAGAGCATGAGAGACTCGTGCATGCGGTTCTGCGGCCGCAGGCGGGAGGGAGAGAGCGGGACAGACAGCAAGGAGACACGGAGACAGGGAGAGAGAAGAAGAATTAGGTTTGAGAGAGAGGAGCTGGGCTACCCAGCAGCTCAGGAGGCGCTCCCGGGCCCGTGGCTTCTCGGGAGGCGGACGGACAGAACAGTGATCCGCTACACAGCACCGGGCTGCCGGTGTCCAGCGCCCAGACCCATCGACGCCCCTCGTCTCGGGGCCAGTGGCAGACAGTGACCCGACCATGGCTCCCGGGTGAGGCTGAGGGTCCGGTGACCTGGGCTCGCCCCCTGCGAGGTCCCCAGCCACAGGAGGGTCTCCCTGGATGTGGGTGTGTGTGTGCATGCGTGTGTGTGTGCGTGTGCTCATGTGCGTGTGCTGGGGGTGGTGGCTATTGGATGGGAGCCCAGAGTTGGGCTTCGGCCCTTCCTGTCCAGACCTGCCCTCTTGAGCCCCGTCTGTGGGTGGAGGTGTCCTCTGTGAGGGGTGAGGGACTCTGTGTGGGTCCCTCCTGTGACCTGGGGGAAGTCACACCTGGGGGCAGCCCGTGGGGAGATTCGTCTGCCCTGGCTGTCTGCAGGGGAGCCCCGGACCGGCCACACCTCCTTGTACGCAAGTCCGTTCAGCAAATGAATGTGCGTGTTGGGCCTCCAACTAAAGCAGAACCCTCGGGGGACAGCCTCTTTTCCCAGGGCTGGGGTGAGGCCGAGGCAGCGGCCAACTTATTCTGTGGTGGGATGCCAGGGGCACACTCGAGGGTGAGGGTGGGATGCCAGGGTCTCTTGGCAGTGTGGGGGGCAAGTCTCTCTGCGAACGAACCCCTTTCTGCAGGGGAGGGTGACTTCTGTGATGGGCCTCCCTGGGGGAAGGGACAGCTGCCCTCGCCCTGGAACATGTCCCCCTCACACCCGGCTCCCCGGGCCTACAGCTCAGGCCCAGAGTCATTCTGGGCTACGGTCTCCCTCTGAAGCCAGAAGACGGAGCCAAATCAGGGCGAGAGCAGAGAGCAGTGTGGGTGCCACTGGGCTTTATTCTCCGAGATGGGGGGCGGTGGCGGGGGGAGGAGGAGGCAACAGTAGGAGCTGAGGAAGCTGCCTGTTCTGTTGCCATGGTGACTTCCCCTATCTGAGCAGGAGGAGGAGGGGAAGGTGGGGACACGTCCTCCACGGTCACTGCGGTCACTACGCCCCACCTGCCGGCCGGCTCTGCACCCAGCACTTCCCCGCCTCGTGCCAATTCATTTCACCAACCCTTAGGGGGCACGGGAGTGGCACAGGTGGCCGGCTCCAGAGCTGGGCCATATAACAGGCCTCTCCAGTCACTGGGAGTGGTCAGTGGCCTTCAGCGGAGGAAACAATGAGGGTCACGACGGCCCAGGACCGCCTATCACACCCGTGACCTCGTTCTGTGGCCGACGCTGGAGGGGGCGGGCAGCCTGTGTCCTCTGTTGCTTCTCGGGAGCCACTGGGCAAGGTTACCCCTCCCTCGGGGACCTGCCGTCAAGGCCACTGTCCCTTTACTCTGCTAAGCAGATCCGGCAAACCCATGTGACGTTACCACCCTCCTAGCCTCAGCCAGCCACCTTCATTCTTGGACCCCCAAAACATCCTGTTCAGGGAAGAGCGAGACTTGTTGGCCCCGGGCCACCTCAGAGCCTGTCCCTCGAGGGGCAGGTGGAGGTCTCCCCGCAGGCCAAGGGCAGGGCCTGGGGCTGTGCACACTGGGCTCACTGGGCTCCGAGGAGGGCAGAGCAGAGATGCTCCGACACCCAC